AAAAAAAATGCCTGCTCACATATAATTTTCCTTGACTTCAATTGCAATTACTATATTATATACAAATTTCCAAACAGAAAACAAAATTCAGATTAATCTCCAAAGGAATCATTATTTTAGCATTTAGCATGCTAGCTTGCCTACAAAAGGAATAATTTCAATAACAGAGTTCAGTATAATTCAGAGTTCAGTATAATTATTTATATATTTAAATGTAGTCATCATACAGTATCAAATGCAATGAAGATAATACTACGGGCTATTTGATTTTCAAGCTACTGGATTTGGGGTGTTATGGAATACATTTTTCTAATGAAGAAAAATTTAAAATGTGTGTGCGTGCTTGTGCCCCCCTCCCTTGTGTGTGTGTCTGTGTGCATATGAACAAGTGCCTATGGAGGTCAGAGGAAAACCTCAGGTGTCATCTTCAGGAAGGCCATCTGCCTCCTTTGAGATAGGATATCTCAAGTGGCCTAGAGCTTACCAATTAGGGCTAGGCTAGCCAGCAAGCTTTCAGGATGTTCCTGTCTTCATCTCCCTAGTGTTGAGATTACAAGTGTATGCCACCATGGCCAACTTTTTGCATGGATACTGGCGATGAAACTCGTGTCGACTAAGCCATTCTTTTTTAAAGGCAATGGGCCCTGTGTTGCTCTTGCTGGCCCCAAACTCTTGGGCTTATGTGATCTTTGGTCTCAGTCTGCAGTGTAGCTGAGACTACAGGCATGTGCCACTGTGTGTGGCTGTAAGCTATTCTATTTTTTCCCATTATTTTATTTTGTAGAAATGAAATGCTGGCATCAGTATTTTGATATGATGAGAAATATTTTTAACCTATTTCTGAACTATCTTCTTTGACCCAAATGCCAGTTAGCACCAGAAACAATTCAACATGTGAATGTTATTTATATACCTAGGAGAATAAGATGTCTGATTTTTAAAAATGCCAGCAAGCTACATGTTGACATGCACCATGAACCCTTGAAGCATTTATTACATTATTATTTCTCCATGGAGATTTGTCTAACAACCCGCAGTTGAGTCCAGTGTTAAAATCTGAGTACTTCCTTTGTGCATACAGTAACTAGACTGCTAGGGAAACAGAAATAGTCAAAGTACTTCAGAGAAAAAATTTGTAGACCATATTTAATTCATGTATGAGAAAATAAAAATTGAAAGCTACAGATATCTTGTCCCACTAAGTTATATCCCATCTAAAATGGCCAGTAGTTAAAAAAGGGTGGTTTCTTTAAAAACTACTCTGTGCATAAGAATGATGTAATAACTAAAATATTTTAGAAATACTTGGCATTTTTCTTATAAGAATTATTTGAATGGTATAAATTAGTCAGAAGTTAGCAAAAACAAAAACTTGTTTTCCTTATCTCCAAATGTTTTCCTTATCCTCAAATGTTCTGTTACTTAACTCTTGCTTAAAGGTTGATGATTTTCTGATACACAGAAAAATAATTACTTAGGCATTCAATCAGAGAACTTGCTCTGAAGGAGCCTTGTAGGTTCTAAGTGATTTGGTCTCATAGTTTTGGCTCTACCAAGTCAAACACTTTATCTGCTTTCTTGGCACCAATTGGCTCAGCTTTGAGTCTGAGAGCAAAATCATTTGGATCAGCTACTGATAATCAGTGTTATTTTGACAACTGTTTCCTATTTCCTTCTTGTGTACAATGACTACATTTTGATCAGCCTTCTATGCACAGAAAGGATGGCCCTCATTGGCTCAGTAGAGCTTAAAAATTTCTTAGGAACTTATTTCTTCAAGAACTTGTTGAAACAGGGCACATCAAGCATTTCTTATTCTCCACAAATCGAGCCATTCTCAGGCCCTGCCCACAGGGTTCTGGAGGCCAGGGAGAAGGCAGGCATGATGAAGCCTCATTTAGACAGTCACTGTATGATGGGTGTGAGTGCTCACTGCCAAGGAGCTAATGGTACTTCACAGCCTGTAGCAAGAGAGGAAGCTGAATGCACTGACAGAGAGGTGCAGTATGTGGTGGCCATGTGCCTTCTTTGAAACCTGGCTTGCCTGCCCTCAAATGTTCATCCTTTCCCCACAAGACTCCAGGAAAGGAGTAGCTCAGTCACTGGCTCTCTGGGAAGCTCTCACTTCTTTAAATACACCAGTCATGGAAAAAAGGCCCTGGGACAGTAAAAGAAATGCCACCCTACACATCGGACATGCAGGACAGCCATCTGATTCTTGCAACCTTTCAGGCATAGTTCTGACAACTTTGGTTATATGATTTTTCTTCCTCAGAAATAAAACAAAACATCATCATAATCATACAAGATGAAGACAAGTGACTAACAGCAAGTAGTGATAATTAGCAGTTCGGCATGGGGAAAAGGAGAGTATAATAAATAAAAGAAGAATTAGGAGGGGAAAAAAAGTCCCAGTCTGGGACCACTTAGTGTCGGAACAAAAAGCTCTACACATCCAAATCATCACTCCAACTATTATGACATAGTCAACGACACCCCAATCCTAATCTTAATAAAGACAGCAGCCACTCCTGGGTGCCCATGTAATAGGCTTTTTCTATCCTTCTCTTCTCTTATCTAGGTTGCAAGTGCTTAATCTTCATAGGCTCCCAGAAACCAAAGTGTGAGATTAAATTAAATTAAATTAAATTAACCTATTTATTGTATTTATTTATTTTTGGTGCTGGAAACTGGACCCTGGGTCTCACATAGGCTAGGCAAGCACTTTACCACTGAGCTACATCTTCAGTAAAGCATGGGAATTTGACTCACTGCTGCCCATGGGATCTGAGAGGAAGTCCTCAAGGGGTCTTCTGAGAAATATTTTCCTCTCTGATTAAAGACACTAGAGGCTGAAGCCCCCATTTTTTTGTAGTCTTTGATCTCATCATGTGAGGTCCTGAGGCTTGGTGCTCATCTTGTGACCACCCATCTTGTGACCATGTACAGGTCAGCTTGGTATCAGTGAGCTGCAGACTTCTTTATATCTGAAATTGTCTGGCTC